GAATAGCGACCAAGCTTTTTCCGACCTAAGCTGGGATATCGGTTTTAGGTCGATATTTCAGGGAATACCGACCTTCGGAGGTCGGTATTCACTATTTTTTTAGTAGTGAGTTTCTCTAACCGACAACCATCACATAGAGCTATAGTGACGATACAACGATCAACCTCACGTTGCCAGAGCATCCTATACCCGGCCAAAGGTATAAGACCTGAACTGCCTAATGGATCCACTAGTCTATCTGGAAAAGGATTCATCTAAAAAGTATGATCCTTTTCTACCCATGGTGGCTAACATGGTTCTATGGGGGCTGTGGGTCCTGCTAATTTGAGATAATTACTCAAAACTTAGCTCAAAGGCTATCTTGGAAATCTCAGTTTCCTCTCTTGCTTCATTTAGAAAGCGATAACTTTTTTTCTGAAACACTAGCCCGAAGGCTCTTTGGAAATCTCAGTTTCCAATCCTGTTTAAATGTGAAAACATTTCTTTAAAACTTCTTCGGGAATACATAGTTCCCTAACTACTTTTGAGAAAATGAACTCAACTTTATACTCTTGACTTAACTTGAAACTCTTTACTCTTTAATTGACTTGAAACTTGAGCCTTAAAATGAAGTTAAAACATTCAATAAAGACTCTTGAACAACTTTAAAGCCTTGCTTGGACTTACTTCTTGACTTCTAGACTTGACTCTAACTTCACTTGACTTTGATCTGAACTTTCCTCAAATTGAATTATGAATTCAAGGGTAAGAATCTCATGTTTATGGATGAGTTCGGGAGGTTTAAATGTACCTTAGAGTGTTGGAAACAACTATAAAACATTGGTACATTACCAAGGAACATGTATGAAAAAGTGGGGAAAGAATGAGAAAACTTGGCGTCCTTGAAGAAATAGTTCATGACTAATCAGTTAAAATGTCCTTCAACTTATAATGGACATTTTGGTAATTCATTTTTTCAACTTAAAAGGCTTTCACTTTCAAAATAATAATATAATATATGCAAAAATGAAAATTTAGAAATTAATATAACATAAAATAAAATTATGTTTTGGAGACTTAAGTACAATGAATTATGAAAGTATAATATAATATTTTTATCTCAAAGATAATATTGTTGACACCCAATTTTGACCCTCCTTCCTTCTAATTTATTATTTTTGAGCTTCTAATTTAATAGCGTATAAAATCATCCCTTTCACAACTATTTTTATTACTACAACTATATATCTTCTAAAATTATTAGTTTTATTATCAAAATTACTAATATTATTTTTGATACCTCTTATCTTAAATAATCATTTGTCATCATTTTATTTCAAGTTTCATATTTTGTTAAATTAATCATACATCGATATCTTGTATCTATATTTAATACTAGCATAAAATCGTAATATCGATATTTTTATTTACGTAAATTATTAGTTGTCATCTTATAACATTTTAAGTATTGGTTATTAAGTTGGAAGTCCAAAACAATTCAAAAGAAGAAAAGATTCAAACGTTTCAGCCCACTTTTTACACTAAAATATGTCAAAATTAGCCCAATTTCGTTCCTACACTTGGCCCAAATCCGGCCCAATTTTCAGCCCGAAATCAATTCAAGCCCTAATAAGCCTTATCTTCTCAACTAGCAGTAGGATTCTCTCTCTTCTATCGTTCTTCTTTCCTCTTCCGACTAAATTCCAGCGATCCTCAAGAATGACAGAGATCTGCCTCTCCAATTCCATGCAAGCCTCCACAACTCTACTAGCTCTCTTCGTTTCTCATCTCTCTTCTTTAATTTAGTCAAGAGAAAATGCCAAAGAACTTTTGAGATTTCTGAGAAAGAATTGTCAAGCAGATTTTTTTCAAAAATTCAAACGATTGTCCCGCTCAAATGCTAAACCTATAACCCTAGTTCATTCCTTTAAATACGAGGAGATGGCACTCGTTTTGGAGAGAGTTTTCTGCCTTCATAGCACCTTGAACCACTGATTTTTACTCTAAAAAAAATAACTTGTCATTCTCTTCTTATCTCGGCCAAAACTCTGGTCTCAAGCTTCGTAGAATTCGTTGATTGTGTGAGTGTAGACCTTTGATTGCAGCAGCCCCATTCACTGCCCTATAGCAGGTGACATTCTTTTCTTTTTCCTCAATTTTGTTACTGTGATTAGAGTGTTATATTGCTCTAAGAAATTTGTATGTTGAGACTGATTCCTGCTTAGTTCAGTTGTAATCAAAGTAATGTTAAAATATGTTTGTATCCATTTTGAGATCTATACAGACTTGAAATTGTTTTCCCTCACTTTTTTTTAGACCTTGAATTTAAAGAATGACTTAGTTTTAAAATTGGATATTTGTTAATGACTTAGTTCTAGAATTGGATTTACATAAGATGCGTTGTTGTTTTGTTCCCAGTTAAATGTCTTATTTTGTGTGTTTATATGCTAAAGTTTCAATGGTCATGTTTTCCTATGTATAAAATGTTTAATAGTAATGGCTATTGTCCTTGCTTCTGTTAGAAATAGCTTTGCACATGCTTCCTTTTAAAAATGTAAAAGAGAGCCTTGGTTGTAGGTATTTTGTTTAAGTTCTACACTTTCTTTTTTGTTGCTAATCAAATCACGTGTATAAGTTCCTGTTCTTTTTTAAAAAAATTGTAAGTTAGCAGTAATCATATTTAATATTTGAAGGACTATGGCACAAATCATGTGCATTGTCATTATTAGGCGTTAGTTTTATATATACAAATATATACCTATAAACTTAAGCTTAAGCTTCCTTTTGTTTTACTCTCTGTTAGTATATTAATTTTACTTTGCCCTTTTCTTCTGAATATTTTAGTATAGACTACTTATAAAGAATTGTTAAAATTCATGGTCTGGAAAGGTAAGCTTCTTTGTGGTTTAAATCGGTTAAACCTAAAAATTAGTTTTATCCTGGAGGTCAGTCACTTTGAGTTCTGTTAATAAGTCGGCTTATCCTGCGCTTGCATATTTTCTATTCCGGATTGTGTCTTTGTTGTACGACTTTTACTTATCTTCATGTTTGGTTTATTTGATATAGTTTTAAAGTGGATTCACCTTACTAATCTTTTTACCCTCTATTTATTTGCATGAACACTTTGGAGCAAAATGGAGTCTTGATTAAGGACTCTCGCAAAATTAGAGTCTCATAGACTCAACACCATCATACCCGCACATGAAGTTGATATCCTATACTATCCAAATAGCAAGCAAAATTCACCTTTGGAGTCGCTTTTACTTATTATCATTTAGCATTTATTTGTTTTAACTTGCTTATGTGTTTTGGATATGTGTTAATTTCTTGTTTCATAATAACTAACTTAATATAGATGTTTGGGTTTGGGTACCTTTAGTTAGATATAAACCTTATTAGTCACTTTACCTTTCATAAACTTCATTTGGCAAACCCTTTTTTTAAAAAAAAATACTTCTTTTGCGCCATTCTAAACTCACTAGATTTATTAAGTTTGGCTCAAAATGGACAGTGTCTTACAAAGAAAATTTGTTGTTCTAAATTCTTATTTTTCTAAAACTTTTTCTAACGGGAACACCTTGTCGGTCAATGAGCAAGTGTCTTTTTCTTTTAATTACTTATTTTTAGCCATGGATTTGTCTAAATTGATCTAAAGAATTTACTCATTCTTAAATCTTTTTCATTCTAATAAATTGCAAAAGAGCTTTTAAAATAAAAAATGTTTTCCAACTTGGTTATTCAACCATTTAATATTTAGCACTCATGTCTTTCTATTAAAATTAACTAATCTAAGTTTGGCCGGTAACCGTCATTAATGGATCTTAGAGGATGCTTAACCCCTTTCCTTTAGGATAATTAGAACTCTTACCTAGAATTTCATGTTTAGTAGACCTTAATTGAAGTCAATTTTAGCATTACATAGTTAATAATTTAGGTATCCTAATTCACCTTAAAAATAATTAGGTAGCGACTTCTCAAGTTAATAATTTGAAAATCACCAATATGTTGTACACGTTTTGACCTCGAGTTAAAATGGGGTATAACAAATATTTATTATTGAAAATGGTATTCATTAGTAAGTATATTTCGAGATTTTGAAATGTTGCTATATAAGAAGAGGGAATAGCACACATGTCTCCGTCAACGCATGTGCTTCCCTGTAAAAACATTGAAGTTGAAGGGCTATTTCTGTCATTTTCCTTTTCTGCATCAATTCTAACGCCTCCTCCATTGTTAACCATCGGCCATCTCCATCTGCTCTCTCCTCTTCTACTCTGCTCCTTCATAGTTGGGTCCAGGTGAACATAATTTACACTTGACAATATTGCATCAACCGTAACGCCGCCTTTGATGTGCAGCACCGCCACACACCTCAAATTTGGCCAACCAGCAAACGCCGCCATCTTCGCACCTCGGTTCTCCTCTCCTCTTCGCTTGTTCTCAATTTTGCACTTTGGTGAAGTCTACAGCTGCTTCCTATCTCAGGTGAGCGTCCTTTACACAAAATTTTTACAGGTCTTTTCGTTGCTTTGATTACTGATTCCCTAACTCGGCCTCTGCTATTTGATTTCGCAATCTTTTTGTAATTCACTTGTCTACGACAATTTCTTTGGGTCTCTTCGACTTTTCGTTTGGGGAACCGTTTCAACTTGACTTCTTCTTGACTTTGGGCTTATCTATATTTTTAAGCTTTCTTGACTTCATACATTTTTGTATTTCTGCGCTATATCCTCCTATATCGACAATCATCATGTGTAAGATTCTAACTTGGACATTTACTGTGCCTTCAATTTTTCCTACGATTTTCTCACTTTGATATAGGGTTCAACTCTTAATATTTGATCTGGTTTAGCAACTTTAAAAATGCATATGTTTTTATTGAAAGAATTCCATTATTGACATCACAAGATGAGAAAATTCCTGTACAATTTAAAAGAACACAATTTTCTCTTTACAAAGCTCAAGGTCAAACATTAAATTTTGTTGGAATTTATATAATGTACTGTATAATTAAATTATTCGCAGAGCCTTTCCATAGCTAAGGTAACAATTCACTTTGATTTTGTTAACTTCATCAAACTTTCCTCTGCAAATTTTACTGCTACTCAAAAATCCACAATTCACTGAAAGATTCTCAGCCTGCAACTCCTCAATAGTTTTGAAGAAGCAAATCTGAAATTCACTCATGCCATGGTATCTCAAAGATAACATTTTTATCTGTTTCATAGAATTGACAGTAATGTTAATTTATAAACTTATCAGGTACTGTGGAGATTTCTGTTATGAAGTAGTAGCGAGAACAACAAGGATCAACAAGTATTCTCAAAAATATTTTAACTAGATCTGATACTGCATTTCTGCCCCCCCATTCCATATCCATATGAAATAGAATTATTATGAGTCTAAATTCAAATATAGTGGACTTTTTTAAACCTTTACTCTATTGAAAGACTACCTAAAGCACACAATAAAACTAGATATGGTTTTTTGACGTTGTATGAATATGTATGCAACCTATTTGATGTTTGTATATTTCTTCTGCTTGCTTTGCAGTGAATGGAACTACTACTCCCCACAGGGAACATGCAGGTCAGTATATACTGGGAGAAACCTACTCTTTTTCAAAAAAAATAACAAGATAAGTTCGAACAAGATGTTTTGATCTAACCTTTATTCACTGGCACTATCACCTGATTCACCATTCTAAGTTGAAAACCGACAATACGAGGGCTTTAATCGCGTTATATATATAAGCTAATCCTTTTTTATAGTAAGCAAAACAAGTCCATTCAAGAGGCAAATGCTATTTATCAGTGTGTTATTCGCCAAGTTGATAAACCTGCTATTTTCAATGGTTAGGCTGCTCCTTGATCATCATAGCTTTTGCCTTTTACTATGTGCCCATAGATGACCATGATAAGTATAGGGAAATAATACACAAGTTGTTTGCAGATGGTTCTTAGCCTAAGTTTATTGACAGTGTCTTCCATAATCGAATAAATATAATCTAATTTAGCTTTGAAAATTAGTCAAATTGACTCTGAAAAAGTCAACATGACACCTTAAAAGGAGTGGAGGGAGTATCATTTAGGCACAGGCCAAGACTTCAACCGAGTTTGTCTACAACATTCTTACTCATGTTAATTCCAGAGCCCGACTTCTTGAATGGGTCTAGGCAAAGTCTTCACACATCAATGCTAAATTTGTGAGTCTTTAGATTTAACCACAAAAGCAATATATACATTTTAATTTCATGTAGCAACTATAAAAACACTTCCTCTGGCAAAAATTTTATGCCTAAAACATCTTCACTTGCATCTTCGCAGGGTTACCAGTGTTGCAGCTTATCCAATACAACAACAAATGTTACTCTTTGTAGATGCCTTATGAAGAGTCGACAGTTCAAACTATGTCAAATAGTTAATTCAACTGCCTACGCCTACTGACGACAAAAATAAGGACACACAACAGCCACAATATTTGATTATGAGTGAATCTAATAAGTTTAATTTTTCATTCTAAAACAATACTACTACAATCCTTTTTTGCCTCTCATTTCCAAAATGGTTGTTCCCAAACAAGATACCTCCTGCAGATCAACCAAGATGCATACTCAACTCAATCACTAAACTACTCCGCTTTACTTGTGAGCATAACATATTGTAATAACCTTCCCAGTGATTTTGTTTTTGTTGGGCCGGGCATCACCCGGGCAACCCTTACTAGTTAAAAACAATTGATAAATAAAAAAAATGAGAAAAATAGACTTTTGCAATGAACAAACAATTGATAAATAAAAAATGAGAAAAAAAGAAAAGCAAACAGGAAAAAATTAGTTTGATAGTCCATAAGAAGTGCTAAAATATTGAATAGAACAATTACCTAAGATGCGAATCGAAAAGAAAGAAATTATATCTCTGCTTCAGCAGTATAAAATCTGCATAAAGCAAAATATATATAATTAATTGGTGTTGCAAAGTTAAGTTGGCATTCTATTATCCCAAAAATCTTGTATAAAACAACAATATATAATCACACATATAGATATTCATGAAGAACACTAAAAAAAGAAAGAGATAATGAATCAATCCACGTTTAGAAAAATACAACCGACTTTATGATATTTTCCATTTTAGAGCTGACCTTCCCTAAATTAAAATTTTGTTTT